AGGTAAACGTCAGAGTAAGATCAGTCCAATAAAAAGCCGGGTCAGAAGAAAATAACAGAGAGCACACCATAAACGCACAACGACAAAAGACTGCTACACTTTGATCTTAGCCAAAAGCCGAGAAGCAATGACAAAAGACTGCGTAGGGATGTTCCGATACCATAAAAGTATCGATACCTACTCATATCAGTAGTAATCAAACCATTTTTCGATACTACTCATACAAATACTCCTAATGTATCGATACTTAATGATATCGATACTTTTAGATTTTTTTTAATGAAATTAACGTAGCAAATGTTTCAAGCCCCACAACGATCTATTCTGCACTGCCACTTTAGATAACATCTATTAGACAACAACATACTACAGAACTAACGAACTATTATGAACCTAACCTAGGTAGCTAGCCTAACGAAATTAATTAGTGAAAAGTTGAAGATTCTACCTTTCGTTTGTCCCTTTATCTACTTTTTTCTGTGATTTACCTTTATCCACAGTAATTCCATGAGTTTTGGAATGCTTAAATAAATTAGACGTATTCCCACAATATTTCACCAACTTAAAACATTGTTTACATTTTGCAGTTGTTTCGTTTGTTTTGGTGAAATATGTCCATATTAATGATTTTGGTGGTGCTATGATAACATGGGAATAATAAACCGATGACTACAATTACTTAAATTACGTAAACAATTACTTGTGGAATGCTAGACACTGCTAGTGCTGACTGGACTAGTGGTAGGTAATTGTTGAGTAATGGCAGCTCTCTGTCTCGGTCTCGGCTCGGGTGAAGTCGGACGGGTTCGGCTCGCCGGATCCGATACCAAGTACTTTTGTTTCGATACCGAGTAAGTATCCAAGATTGATTCGATGCTATTAGTACTTGGTATCGAATCAAAAGTATCGAGTACCTACTCGTATTTACTAGTATCGGAATGTCCCTAAGACTGCGTCATGACATGGCGTCATCAACAGGCACTAGTGTTGCCAGGAACATCCCACGAGCTTTTGGCCTAAAAATGTACCGAATTTCAATGATTTTTCTATTTAGTTACATACATAATCACTGCATTCGGATGCACTCATTAACTTTCGATTTTTTTTTGGGTAACATCCCTCGTGTTTAAAAAGAAAAAGGGTTCACTGACGCAACATTGTAAGGACGTTCAGTTCTCTTTAGAACATAAATTGTTTATGTTTAAATGGTTTATTAAAGTAAATGGTAAAATTACCTTTTTTTGTCATTATTACAATAAATATGTAATCGTAATTGAATAAAGTTAAGCAATTGTGCAGTTGTAACTTCGAAAAAAATAATAATATTTTATGCCCGCCGTTACAAGGTTACACCGTTGAATTTTGATTAAATGTCAGATGTGATCTATTAAATTGGCCCCAGGTATTAGTGTTCTGTGATTGGCCCTATTATAGTAAACAGCGTTATTTTGACATTACAAACAGACACTTCAATTTTATTTATATGTATATGGTATAGTACTCTAGGTACTCCTATAGATAGTGGTTTCACTTTTACCGCGTGTGAACTGCACACGTTTTTTCATTATTATTCGAGTTGTTATAAGGAAGATGCTACTTCCCTCAGATTATAAAATATCGATTTCCTGCATGTCTTACCAGGTCGTTACTTCATCTAGAGGCGGGCCGCTCTACACTTCGCCTACCGGTACGAAGCTGCTATTCGAGAACCTTTATTCCCCATCGGTTGTCAGTTCTTCGAGCTATATGGCCGGCCCATTGCCATTTCAGCTAACTAATCCGTTGGGATATGTCGGTTACCGTGGTTCAACCGCGGAGTTGATTAACTTTCTTCTGCGTAGCATTGAAAGGAAGTTAATGGTTTTAGCTGGCAGTCTGTTAGTCTGTATGCCGACACGATAACTTCCGTTCCACTGGACCGATTGACTTTAAATTTAGTATGTATCCACACCTTGAGGTAGTAGCTCGGTCGAGTTTGAATTTGGGTTCTGTAGGTCAAAGGGCACCAGAGATATGGGATTCACGCAGAAGGAAGTTGTTTTTCTTGAATTTACATTCAACTCGTTATAGATACCATAAAAGGGGCAGTTTGTTTTAATAAATATTTCAAGATTAATACACCACAATTTTAAAAGGTTTTTTTGCAAAGCAATCCTCATTAATTCTGAACTTAAACATAAAGGGATATGTAATTAAGTAAAATAATTACCCGAGATGAATATTCTTTAATCAGTTAAATGTACAACTACATAATTTATATAAATATTATTTTCTATAGACAACAATGTTCTACTAGTCTAAGAAACAGCTAGCGCTTGCTGAATATCCTATAATAAATAACACAACATGGGTTCTTTGGAATTGTGACTTTGATACTACTTTTGTACTAAAATAAAATTATACATTAAGAACATAATTACAAATTTCAAATGAAGATTAATTTATAATATAATTGGTATTGCTTTATGTTACTCACACTAATCACACACATCCTGTAATATCTCAGGGGGGTCAGGGTTCTACCGCGAACAATCCAGGTTGGAAAGTTGGTTGTTTGTACTGTGAAATTTATAGTGATTTAACCTTGTGCATGTGTTTTTTTAACAAAGAAAACAATAAATCTTATTTGCACTTAAGCTTAATGATACTTTTGGTTTTGTAACAATAGTTCTACTTTGACTTGTGACTGAATCCTTTGTCTAGCGGTCGTAAACGCGATTGCTCATCGTGAGGTTCCGGGTTCAAATCCCAAGTCAAAATAAATTATTGGGTTTTTCTATCAAGACATTTTCAGTAGCAGCCCGGAGTCAGAAAGTTTTGGCAGTGTTTCATCTCCATGCCTCGGAAAGCACATAAGCCGTTGGTCCTGCACCCGACCTCTCTCCAGTCGTGTCGGATTACCGTCTCATCGGACTATGAGAATTCAGGAATAGTGTACCTGTGCTTGCGTACACACTCGTGCACTTTAAATCTACCCGAAATTCGACCGACATAATCTACTTCAAAAAATAAATTTAACATATTATAACGGAATTTCTGTATTTTTTTTAAACAATTAACTTATTACATCCATTAGTCATAATAATTAAAAATAACAATTAATTTAAAATAACTACGGTGGTTTAAGACTCATTAGCTAATTATGATTGAGATTTAATGTACACACCATTTCATAACAGATCTCTCCCAAGAAATTTTATCAAACATTTTGACTCATAGTGAAAAATCACACTTCACTAACACGTTCAGCTAAAATCAACAGTTATTTAACAGGCAACAGAATTTGTTGCGACAACAATTAACTACATTTTAAATAATGAAGAAAGTGACGCCGCGGCTGTCTCAGTACTTCCGGCGGCTATCGCTGCGTTGCTACGCGCAACTAGCAAGTTGCGGGAATGTAAATACGACTGCTGCGGAACAACTTGATGTGCATTTAAGCCCAAATCTGAAACGAAAGAATTGAAATCAAATTTTTTCTATATTTTACGTCTTTACAAAACAGTTAGTTATACTATTTCTATTTTACATACATATATATATCCGATTGTTTAAGTGCTTCACAGCACACAAGTAGACGGTCACTTAGTCTTGATATCATAGTACAACATCGCTTAGAATTAAAACGTAGCAATTTTGTTGTACAGCGTCAGCGTGCGGTACAGTGCGATGCAGTGCTGTCCGATGCAGTATAGTGTAGTGTAGTGTAGTGTAGTGTAGTGTAGTGTAGTGTAGTGCAGTGCAGTGCAGTGCAGTGCAGTGCAGTGCAGTGCAGTGCAGTGCAGTGCAGTGCTGTCCGATGCAATGTAGTGTAGTGGTGTGTGTCGGGCACGAGCAGCACGCGCGTGACGCGGTGGTCGTGCAGTGCTCGTGCAGTGCGATGCGACACTTACCCGCAGCGTGGCGTCCCACGAGGCGGTGCAGAGCGCGGTGCCGTCGGGCGCGAGCTGCACGCGCGTGACGCGGTGCTCGTGCAGTGCGATGCGACACTTACCCGCAGCGTGGCGTCCCACGAGGCGGTGCAGAGCGCGGTGCCGTCGGGCGCGAGCTGCACGCGCGTGACGCGATGCTCGTGCAGTGCGATGCGACACTTACCCGCAGCGTGGCGTCCCACGAGGCGGTGCAGAGCGCGGTGCCGTCGGGCGCGAGCTGCACGCGCGTGACGCGGTGCTCGTGCAGTGCGATGCGACACTTACCCGCAGCGTGGCGTCCCACGAGGCGGTGCAGAGCGCGGTGCCGTCGGGCGCGAGCTGCACGCGCGTGACGCGGTGCTCGTGCAGTGCGATGCGACACTTACCCGCAGCGTGGCGTCCCACGAGGCGGTGCAGAGCGCGGTGCCGTCGGGCGCGAGCTGCACGCGCGTGACGCGGTGCTCGTGCAGTGCGATGCGACACTTACCCGCAGCGTGGCGTCCCACGAGGCGGTGCAGAGCGCGGTGCCGTCGGGCGCGAGCTGCACGCGCGTGACGCGGTGCTCGTGCAGTGCGATGCGACACTTACCCGCAGCGTGGCGTCCCACGAGGCGGTGCAGAGCGCGGTGCCGTCGGGCGCGAGCTGCACGCGCGTGACGCGGTGCTCGTGCAGTGCGATGCGACACTTACCCGCAGCGTGGCGTCCCACGAGGCGGTGCAGAGCGCGGTGCCGTCGGGCGCGAGCTGCACGCGCGTGACGCGGTGCTCGTGCAGTGCGATGCGACACTTACCCGCAGCGTGGCGTCCCACGAGGCGGTGCAGAGCGCGGTGCCGTCGGGCGCGAGCTGCACGCGCGTGACGCGGTGCTCGTGCAGTGCGATGCGACACTTACCCGCAGCGTGGCGTCCCACGAGGCGGTGCAGAGCGCGGTGCCGTCGGGCGCGAGCTGCACGCGCGTGACGCGGTGCTCGTGCAGTGCGATGCGACACTTACCCGCAGCGTGGCGTCCCACGAGGCGGTGCAGAGCGCGGTGCCGTCGGGCGCGAGCTGCACGCGCGTGACGCGGTGCTCGTGCAGTGCGATGCGACACTTACCCGCAGCGTGGCGTCCCACGAGGCGGTGCAGAGCGCGGTGCCGTCGGGCGCGAGCTGCACGCGCGTGACGCGGTGCTCGTGCAGTGCGATGCGACACTTACCCGCAGCGTGGCGTCCCACGAGGCGGTGCAGAGCGCGGTGCCGTCGGGCGCGAGCTGCACGCGCGTGACGCGGTGCTCGTGGCCGCACAGCACGCACACGCGCGCCGCACGCAGCGCGTCCCAGGCGCACGCCGTGTAGTCGCTGTATCCGGCGAACAGCAACCGCCCGCTCACCGACCAGTCCACAGAGTTCACGCCGAAGATTATACTGTCCTTGCCGTAACGCGCCACCTGTTGGCCACGCGGCGATCACTTTATAGTTTGTAAATTTACAGACAGCTACATGTTTTATAAGACTATATACTGGTTAGCCATAAAATGGACTAAAAGAGCATATTCGTATTTAACATTTAGTTTTAATAAAATTAATATTTATCTTAAAAGCTGACTTTCTCATGTATACCAATTTTCTTGATTACGTCATATCATGATTATAATAAAAAAAAACATCGAAAAATATTTTGTGGGCCACATATGATTTGTGCTACTTCAACCACTTTGTGGAGTGGAGTGAACATTCCTTATTTATTTATCAGTCACATAATACGTAACGAAACGACCTTGAGTGAGGACTGTCTCGCATCACGCGCGGAGGGAAGCGCCGCCATTTTGTGGTTTAACTATCGAATGGTGTAATTAAATCTCAAATAAAGATGATAGACGTGTAGCTGCAACACCAAACTGTGACCCTAACACTACAATAATTATTAATGATGATATAGTCGATAAATGCTATAATATATATATACCCTACCGCGCCGAGTGCTGATAATACACTATATTTTATTATATTATTATAAAATTTGTACACGTACGACATAAATGGTTCAGGTTCTAAGTTAAGTACATATACAAAATAATGCTTTATATACATGTACGATATTTCGTTCACTTCCATTGCGAAAGCAAACTTAAAAAAAGTATTACTGTGTAGTGGCAGTGTAAGAATATTCACTACTCCATATCATCCCATAGGTTTAACATGAGGCACAGCGTCTTCCTAATAAGGAAAAAATAAACTACTACAGTTGCTAACCTGCCTAAAGCGTGACAACTATGACAAATATCCCCACTATGAGACAATCTATGGGGGGCAACTTTAATATGATGTAATAACGGTAATGATACGAGGGTGGATTGAAAAGTACTCGGCCTAACACAGATCCATTCAATTCTAAAAATCAAATCTACCCACATTATTTAGTTCAGTTCAGACTAGTTCATTGTGTGAAGTTCGAAACGTGTGCGATAATTAGTTGTGATTTTATAAATTTATTAACAAAGTAATCGGACATAATTTCCGCGAATGGAGCAAATCGAGCAGCGTGCCGTCATTAAGTACCTCCATAAGAAGGGGCTATCATCAAAAGCCATCCATGATGACATGGTCAGTACATTAAGCGATTGTGCTCTGTCATATTCATCCGTCAAAAAATGGATAGCAGAATTTAAGCGTGGTAGAGAGAGTGTGAAAGATGAACCCCGCTCTGGAAGGCCTTCGACGTCAACTACTGACGAAAATATTAAAAAAGTACTTGATTTAATAATGGGAGACCGCAGATTAAAAATTAGAGAGATAGCCGAGATTAAAGGCATCTCTTATGAACGAACTCAAAACATCATTGTCAACGAGTTGGGTTTCCACAAGGTGTCTGCGAGGTGGGTTCCGCGACTGCTTTCAGTTGAACAAAAAAGGACGCGATTGACTATTTCACGCGACTGTTTGGAGTTATTTGAAGCCGATGCAGATGATTTTTTGAATCGTTTTGTTACTATGGACGAAACATGGGTTCATTACTGTACACCGGAAACAAAACAACAATCAAAACAGTGGAGAAGACCTGGTTCACCACCCCCTAAAAAGGCTAAGTCGATTTTGTCGGCAAATAAGGTGATGGCCTCAGTATTCTGGGACTCAAAAGGTGTGATTATGATTGATTATCTTGAAAGGGGTCAGAATATAAACTCTGATTACTACTGCACCTTACTACGTCGTTTACGAGAGGAAATAAAAGAAAAACGTCGAGGAATGCTCAGAAGAAAAGTCCTGTTTCATCAAGATAACGCCCGTGTTCACACGTCAGTACAGTCAATGGCTGAAATTCACAACTGTGGCTTTGAACTGTTACCGCATCCGCCGTATTCACCTGATCTGGCACCATCAGACTTCTTTCTGTTCCCTAACCTAAAAAAGCACTTGGGAGGTCAAAGATTTTCGACAAACGACGAGGTCAAAGCAGCTGTAGACGCATATTTTGACTCTAAGGAAGAATCATTTTTTTTCAACGGTCTAAATGCTTGGAAGGGGAGGTGGCAAAAGTGTATTGAACTTGATGGTGATTATGTAGAAAAATAAAAATATAACTGATTTAGTATGTGTTTATTTTCTTGGTTAGGTCGAGTACTTTTCAATCCACCCTCGTATTTACGTGAAAAAATGTAAGAGTAGTTGGACGTACCTCCCTGTCGGCGCGCAGGTCAAAGAGGCGGCAGCAGGAGTCGTCGCAGCCGGTGGCGAGTGCGTCGCCGGCGGGGTGGAAGCGCGCGCTCGTGACGTCAGAGAGGTGCGCGTCGAACGCCTGCACGGCGTGCCCGCTGCGCATGTCCCACACCAGCGCCGCGCGGTCGCAGCCGCCCGACACGAACGTGTCGCCCGGCTCCGCGGCCGCCGCGTCCAGGCACGTCACGTCCGCGCCGTGCGCCTGCGCACACACCGCCCGCCCACGTCACCACACGTCACCACGCATACGTCACCGCCCGACACGAACGTGTCGCCCGGCTCCGCGGCCGCCGCGTCCAGGCACGTCACGTCCGCGCCGTGCGCCTGCGCACACACCGCCCGCCCACGTCACCACACGTCACCACGCATACGTCACCGCCCGACACGAACGTGTCGCCCGGCTCCGCGGCCGCCGCGTCCAGGCACGTCACGTCCGCGCCGTGCGCCTGCGCACACACCGCCCGCCCACGTCACCACACGTCACCACGCATACGTCACCGCCCGACACGAACGTGTCGCCCGGCTCCGCGGCCGCCGCGTCCAGGCACGTCACGTCCGCGCCGTGCGCCTGCGCACACACCGCCCGCCCACGTCACCACACGTCACCACGCATACGTCACCGCCCGACACGAACGTGTCGCCCGGCTCCGCGGCCGCCGCGTCCAGGCACGTCACGTCCGCGCCGTGCGCCTGCGCACACACCGCCCGCCCACGTCACCACACGTCACCACGCATACGTCACCGCCCGACACGAACGTGTCGCCCGGCTCCGCGGCCGCCGCGTCCAGGCACGTCACGTCCGCGCCGTGCGCCTGCGCACACACCGCCCGCCCACGTCACCACACGTCACCACGCATACGTCACCGCCCGACACGAACGTGTCGCCCGGCTCCGCGGCCGCCGCGTCCAGGCACGTCACGTCCGCGCCGTGCGCCTGCGCACACACCGCCCGCCCACGTCACCACACGTCACCACGCATACGTCACCGCCCGACACGAACGTGTCGCCCGGCTCCGCGGCCGCCGCGTCCAGGCACGTCACGTCCGCGCCGTGCGCCTGCGCACACACCGCCCGCCCACGTCACCACACGTCACCACGCATACGTCACCGCCCGACACGAACGTGTCGCCCGGCTCCGCGGCCGCCGCGTCCAGGCACGTCACGTCCGCGCCGTGCGCCTGCGCACACACCGCCCGCCCACGTCACCACACGTCACCACGCATACGTCACCGCCCGACACGAACGTGTCGCCCGGCTCCGCGGCCGCCGCGTCCAGGCACGTCACGTCCGCGCCGTGCGCCTGCGCACACACCGCCCGCCCACGTCACCACACGTCACCACGCATACGTCACCGCCCGACACGAACGTGTCGCCCGGCTCCGCGGCCGCCGCGTCCAGGCACGTCACGTCCGCGCCGTGCGCCTGCGCACACACCGCCCGCCCACGTCACCACACGTCACCACGCATACGTCACCGCCCGACACGAACGTGTCGCCCGGCTCCGCGGCCGCCGCGTCCAGGCACGTCACGTCCGCGCCGTGCGCCTGCGCACACACCGCCCGCCCACGTCACCACACGTCACCACGCATACGTCACCGCCCGACACGAACGTGTCGCCCGGCTCCGCGGCCGCCGCGTCCAGGCACGTCACGTCCGCGCCGTGCGCCTGCGCACACACCGCCCGCCCACGTCACCACACGTCACCACGCATACGTCACCGCCCGACACGAACGTGTCGCCCGGCTCCGCGGCCGCCGCGTCCAGGCACGTCACGTCCGCGCCGTGCGCCTGCGCACACACCGCCCGCCCACGTCACCACACGTCACCACGCATACGTCACCGCCCGACACGAACGTGTCGCCCGGCTCCGCGGCCGCCGCGTCCAGGCACGTCACCACATGTCACCACGCATACGTCACCAACGCCGCGGGGTCGCAGTCGCACTAGCCACACACTTACTCTAACGTCAGCACGCATCGGTAGGGCGAACAGACTTCTATGTATACCACAAGACGGACTCTGTGCCGTTAATAAATTGCGTACGTCTCCACGCATCGGCAGTGTTCAGAGAACGCGAACCATATTACCTTGCTAATAGCCTTATATAACTATACATTGCACATTAAATTTCCTCAATTCACCATGACTCTTTAGTTGCAAAATATTGCTTTCTCCAATATGTTGTTTAGCTTAATATTAGAACAAAAACATTGGTTATTGCTATGAATACTTTTGCAAATTCAATAGGTATATGTATAATAAATTTTGTCACTAAAGTGTTGGGGAAGATCCAGAACAACGCGTGTGCGTGTGTGTGTGTGTGTGTGTGTGTGTGTGTGTGTGTGTGTGTGTGTGTGTGCGCGCGTGTGTGTGTGCAACTCTTGCTACCTGGAAGCTCTGTAGCAGCTGTCCTGATTCGACGTCCCAGAGCGCGCAGGTGCCGTCGCCACCGCCGGTGAGCAGCTGGCGGTCGGTGTTGGGGAACAGGCAGCACGACATGTACGACGTGTGCGTGGCCACCGTGCGCTTCCGAGCCGTCGGCTCCTCGTCCGACCCGCCCAGCGGGAAGACCGTCACCTTGTTGTCCAGCCCGCTGCATCATACCACATAAACACCCACTCAAATATACACAATATACATCTTCGCATACATGCATTTTGTAAGTGATAGAATCACTCTACAGCTATATATTGGTTGTAGCACAAATGGGTATGCTTGACTGGGTTAGTACCACGCTCTCAAGAAATCGTAAAATTGAAGATTAATGTTGCTAAGTATTAGGCATGTATATACAAAAATTACTTATTGAAGTTATATTTCTCTTGGACCACCTCTTTAACACAACACTGTTTGCCGTAAATTCTCTAATCTCTAAGTTGTGTAAATTGGCGAGCATTCAAGTTGTTTTAAATATGCATAAGTACTTTTGATATTTTCCAGCACATGATGAAATTAGCAATCACCTTTAAATAGATTATATAGAACTTTAATATACAGGGTCATTTTTAATTTACTGAAGACCTTTTGGGAATATATTGGTTACATCATTACAAACAATTTTAGTGAGATCACTCTTCACAGAATATAATACATTTACGAAAAAACTACTTTTAAGGTTTTGTTGTCATGTCTGACTCCTTTTAAGTCTGTATTTTGTAGTACCTAAACAATGTCAGAATAAATCGTCAAAGAAAATGCCTAAATAACGCATTTTTACATGATACATGGTATACTCAATATTTGAGTATCGGTATGCCATTGTAACAACGCGTAACGTTCGCGATATTAATCTCACAACGGAAGGAGAAAAGTCGCGGGCGCACAAAAGGCGACTGACCGACTGACGACACAGATAATTAGGTCAAGTTCAAATGAGCAAGCGCCGCCTCCTACACCCCTCCACCCCTACCCCGCCACGCGCATATTTTTGCTATTTAGGACTATTGCCGTTTAGAAGGTCCAATTAAAATATTTTTATTTTTGTATGAAAATAAAAATTGAAGAAATATAATTTCTTTTCTTACAGATGTTGTTGTTATGCTGTAAATAATATATTCCCAAAAGGTCTTCAGTAAATTAAAAATTACCCTGTAGTATTTAAAAGTATATCTTATGTCATTTACTATGTTATGTAACTACATTATAATTGTAAAAAAAAAAGAAATGGAACTTACCCTGCAGCTACCATATTTCCAGATGGTGCATAAGCACAAGCCATTACCCAAGTACTGGGCATTGAAATAGTAAGCTCCTTAGTAGCAGTAAATGCATCCCATATTATAATTTTACCATCCTGTAAGCAACAACAAATACATGGGTGTACATATACATGGTAGAGCCATCCATGCCGCAACTATATTATAGTTGAAGCATAAATGACTTGACTTGACCGGGGTAGGCCCACATTCTCACAGAGTACCAGCGTAAAATAGCAGCTTAATGTTGCTGTGTTTCAGATGGTGAGTGAAGAGAACTGAAGACTCTTTTTCCCAGAAAGATGGAATTCCATCTTAGTCTTCATGGGTGACATTGATCAGCCACAGCATTAACTTACCATCAGGTGAGCTGTATGCTTGTTTGTCACCTAATTTTATTTATGAAAGCATAAAAAAATTGAAACATCAGTAATAAAAAAAAATTAAACATGACACAAAAGTAGAATTAGTTTTATTCTATATGTAATATTTGCATAAATTTAAGAAATCATTAAGCAAAAAGAAAGTTAGTCTCAATACTCTACAAATGGGGAGAAGCTGAGTCTTGTTGAATTGTTTTTTGTTCTCAAAATTACAGTTGATCTGAAACTTCAGTGGGGCACCAGTATATCTAAACTACAGTCCCTGGCCAAATTATTAGAAGCACTGTAGATTTTGAATAATTACAAATTGTGCAGGAGTTTATATGCAATACCTTTATATTTAAATATACATGTAATGTGTTTTTATTCAGGAAATTTATATATTTCCTGTTTCTATTTATTTTTAATGTATTGCATTGCAATGTTAACCAATGGACATACAAACGTAAACAAGTACAAATCCGTTTCAATCGCGTTCTCGTGTGTTTTAGTTGTGGACGTGTTTCTGTGGCTTTATGCGCTCTATTTTTTTGTTTCGCAGTTTTATACTATGCAGTTATTTGTTCATTTTGTGTACAGTGTTTAAATAAACAATTTGAACATTTTAATCATGGGTAAAAAAGGAGACCTTTCACCAAAACTTTTCGTAAAAAAGCTGAAGGCCCTCGTAAATGCTTCAACGTGGTAGAGCCATGCTGCAGCTATATTAGTAGTATAGTTGTAGCACGAATGGGTCGGCTCGACTGGGGAAGGACCACGCTCTCACAGAATACCAGCTTCATGCTGCTGTGTTTCGTATGGTGAGTGTAGAGAACCGGAGACCCTTTTTACTGGAAAAGACGCATTCTATCTTAGTCCTCACGGCTGACAACGCATCTGCATTTTGATTCGCAAACAAGAATAAATGTAGATGTCTATGGGCCACAGCAACCACTTACCATCAGGTGGACTGTGTGCTCGTTTGTCACCCTATCCTATAAAAAAAATATGCTAAAATATTTTCTAATCACGAAATATCACGAAGATTGAAGGTTTCTATAGCTAGCGTACGACGCATAAAGAAAATTGAGTCAGAGGAAAGAAAACATGTGGCAGAAAGCCTATTTCTACTCCAAGGACAGAAAGATGTTTAAAGAAAATTTGCCTGGAAAACAGATTTGCAAGCACAAAACTGATAAAATCGCAACTCCAAGATGCTAATGTGAATGTTTCTGAGTCCATTGTTAGAAGAAATTTAAAAAAAATTAGATTATAGTTCCTGCCACCCCGCCAAGAAGCCCAAGTTAACAGCTGCAATTAAAGCTAAGCATCTGAAGTAGGCTAAACAGTGGCGTGAAAAAGATGAGGACTTCTGGAGATTGGTAAGTTGGTATAATTTCATCACAAATGATACATTTAATGTCATTTTCTATGTCATATTATTTATATGTAATGTCGTTTTATAATAAAAAAAAAGAAAGACCACTACAGATATTTAGGATGGGATAAAGCTCTTTATGTGCATCGTCGCCATGGAGAAAAGTTTCATTCTGACTGTGTTGTTCAGACTGTTCAGCGCCCTACAAAAGTGATGATCTAGTCAATCATCAGCGGCAAGGGTACTGGATGTCTGTATGTGGTAAAAGGTATAATGAGGCAAAATCAGTACAAAGAAGTCTTACAAAATCAATTGATACCACAGCTCAGAGAATGGTTTCTGAATGGGGAACCATTCAGTTTTATGCAAGATGGAGCTCCCTGTCACACAGCACAGTCTGTTAAAGCTTTTTTGGAAGAGAAAAATATCCCTCTGTTTGATTGTCGGGGTAATAGCCTCAATATGGATCCTATTGAAAACATGTAGAGGCTGATGAAGAGAGAAGTGGCTAAAGATGTTTTTACAAACAAAACCCAACTTAGAAAAGATCATTCATGTGTGGAATCATCTCCTCAAATGCAGGCGACAGTACAGTCTAAAATTGATAGCATGCCGTACAGAATTTATACTCTCATAGCGGCTAAAGGTAGCTCAACAAAATATTACCATTTTATTGCATTAATTTAAATTTTTTTCAAGAGTTCTTAAATATACATTTTTTCTATGACTATGATGTTTTATTTGTGTTAATAATAGAAAATAAGGTGGATAATAAAAAAAATATACATTGTATCTAGTAAAAACAATAAAGCTGTATAGTATCACCTGATAATTAAGATTTTACATAGAATCTTATAGTGTATCTAATAATTTGGCCGGGTACTGTAGCTAGCATAGTTCTGCAGCATATACCATAAAAAAGATTAGATGCCTTGTGTTGAAGAAAAATATCTAGCTGTTTCAACACAAGGCACCTAATCTTTTACAGTAATCATAATAAAAATCAATAAGGTCACTGCTCGTTTCTTAGCAGGAGAGAGGATTTGCTTAACCAGTAGTAAAAATAAATATATGATATGATATACATAGTCTTCATGGCATTAATGACTTTCAATAAGTGTTCTTGTAATTTATAAAAACAATCATATAAAAAAAATATTGGATAAAAAATGATTCTGTACTATTCTATTGTATTATAAGATCAAGGACATTACATTTTCATTTTTTATCTTATCTATTTTTATTTCTTTAATTATTAATAGTCTTTTCTCTTTATCAACTCATAACGGTAAACTGCTGAACGTGGGCCTAAGAAAGATTTACTTTGAAGGCTATACCAAGCCATACTTCAAAGGGCAGCAGGTTTGTAATTGTGGTACCAGATTTCTCATGAACTTTAATGCTGGCTTCCTGATGCTGATCCGTTTATTTTACCTGGGGCATATTAAGTAAGATGGTATACTGTTATAATGTCACTGCTATGCTGCTTTATAAGTGGCTACATGGACTTTGACTTTTCCCAGTTTCGTCTAATTCTTGACACCCACACGATGAAATGAGATGATGGATTCTCTAATAATTATTTAATGTTTATGTGTAGATTGCTTACTTACAAATTAATGATTATGCCTAAATATAAATGAAGACAAAAATACCCACTATAAATTAAAATCTACCCCATAGATTATCAAACTGTGCTAACATTCTATACAATAATCATGATGTTACAAAAGGAAAATCCTATTTTTTATCATACAGTAGCAATATACACAAGCTTAAGCTTGTTTCTGTGTTACAGGACAATGGCTTCTCTTTCAGCTTATGTGTTGTGACATCATGTTGTACATTTATTCAGATACACACAAGCACAATTTATAAATGTCTTATATAGATCTTGTTGTGAAGTTATAATATATGTACCTGTGAGGATGAAACAATGTGACGCTTGTCAGGTGACCAATCTGAGCACAGCACCTTAGACTGGTGTCCTTTAAGCACACGCCTCAGCTTGAGGTTGGGGAAATTGATTGGCTCTAAGCGTTCTGCTACACAAGATACTGGGAACAAAAGTTTATTTAAAAGCCTATTGATGAATATGAATAATCTGTAGAATTATCAAGGTGAGAAACATAAATAAAGATTAATACCTCACTAGACTTTTTCCACAAAAATCAAATTATAATGTGTAATATATGTATAATGAATTTTGTAGTCTTACATAACACCTGACTTCCAAAGTTTACACAATACGATGAACTTTATCTTTTATTATCATCATCATTACAACTCATTTGGGCAGAACTGAACACAGGATTCCACTAAAGAATGCCACAAAGCACGGTCCTGAGCTACCTGCATCCATTGACATCCTGCTAAAACTGCCCAACAAACTCCAGAGAGAGGTTACCTACTTAATGTGCAATATATAATATTACTTTATCAACTAAAATTTATAATCTTACTAAATATAAAAGTGAATTTAACTATTTTAGTTCATAAACTGTAATTGTTTTTTTAATGTTGTATTTAATCCTATAATAACTTAACTAATTATTGAAATATCAACCCTAAGGCAATAACCAAAAAAGTAGAGCAAACATCAAACTGCAAAATAAATAAGATAGGAAAGGACCCAACTTTTATCAAAATACTACAGATGAAAAGATCAAAAAAGAAAAAGAAACAAAATCAGTGAAACAAGCAGGCAGTACACACTTTCATAAAACCTATGACATGTTTCTGGGTAGAAATATTTTTCTATTCATTTTCAGTATTAATACTAACTATAAAGTTCTTCGCCTTCAGCGAATAATTCTGGAAAGTTAAAGGTCAATACTGGGTCCCATAACTATAAAGGATTTCTATGAGATAATAATACATATAAATCATTTATTGTTAACAGAAAGATTTTCTTAGAGTACTTACAAGTAACATCGTTTAGTTTTTGACGCTCTTCTTCAAGTTTTTGTTTCAGCGCCTCGGCTTCACGGAGTAGCGATTCAAGAGTTTCTTCAGGACTCGCAGCTACCGCAGTGTCCGCCGCCATAGCGCTGCTGGTTATTTAACTTTATCACCACATTATTCCAGCCACAAATCAATATCCTTTAAACTTTAGTTTGATAGTTGATAATGAGTCATTTTTTTGTATTTTAGTAATCCTCAAAGCCTCAAACACACAACACAATTACCTAGCACTTCCTAACACTTTTTACCAACACTTTTTACAAGCTTGCTACATATTCATTTATCTATGCTTTTTACTTTGTGACCACAAACTGAATAGAAATTAGAAACACTACGTCAAAGAGAATATAATAGTGACCAAAGAGTATAGTAACTGTCCTAGTCTCCTACAAAGAGTATAGTAATATATAAGGAAGGTCTCCTAGTGACATAGATATTACTATATCTATGCCTAGTGACTACACCATAGAATTTTTTTTTATAGGATAGGGTGACAAACGAGCACACAGTCCACCTGATGGTAAGTGGATGCTGTGGTCCATAGACATCTTCATTTATCCTCGATTAGGAATTAAAATGCAGATGCGTTGTCACCCGTGGGGACTAAGATGGAATGCCTCGGTTTTTCAGTAAAAAGGGTCTCCGTTTCTCTACACTCACCATACGAAACACAGCAGCACTAAGCCGCTATTATACACTGGTATTCTGTGAGAGCGTGGTCCCTCCCCGGCCGAGGCGACACATTCGTGCTACAACTATACCAGAAATACAGCTGCAGCATGGCTCTACCACGTAAAAATTAGAGTTAGATGACTAAATATTATGTAGCAACCAGCAAGCTACCAAGGAGATTGTAAAATATAGGGAGTGCGCACTTCATACTAGAGAAACGTTCCTAAATCAGTGACCTTGAAATTAATGAAGGGCACTGAGTTAAGCGTTCCATTTCTTTCTAATAGAGTGTCCATAATACAATATTTTGAGGATATTGATAGTATATACAGCATTACGGAAAACGAAATGCGTATTTTTTTTTCAATGTGGAATGTGCTGAATAGTGTTATAATTAAACTCCGTTTAATATTTTGATTATATGATTGCTTCGCTACAGTATCAAACCTTACTTTGGCGGTGTAGCGTGGATTGATACCCATGGCGGTTTTCGTTGGTAAACTAGTCGCGGCGTAGCGTGGGTTGACACCCATGGCGGTTTTCTATCAAGCACCCCCCCAAATAAAACAAAAAATGCTATACATGCTAACGGGACTTTATTTTGCTAAAATATTGTGATATATTATCAAAATTTATTTCTTGTCATTTTCGATAGATAAAATGGAAAGATTGGTTAGTCCCGCAGTCCCGCTTAGCTCATTGTGGACCTTAAGCTACATTTTATTAACTTGAGTTTTGAAAAGCTTCTTTCACATGAAACTTAATAGTAAAAAAAATCTTAGACACAGCGCTAAATTCGGAACAGTTTCAGAATAATCAAATTTTACGAGAAAAGCTCCAATGAATTACATTGAACTGCTTCTTGGTAAGAAATGCTGGCAGCTTTGAAGTCGTAAAGTCTCCAAAATTATATATCCTGCAAAAAAATCGTCATAAATTTTTGTCAGATTTTGAACTATTACACGAAGCAGAGTGTAAGGCTTAACAATATTAAATGTTATGAGAATATCATCCATTGCTCTGTAGCGATGGTCTAGTTTCTAGTAAAATCTGTCAAGACATTCTAACATAACTCTCTGCAGCTCCTCTGGCAATGTTAGTCCAGCATATCGGGTCATTTCTCTTGGTAAACGTTTTCGAAATCTCCTCATTCCTCTTCTTCCTTCAATCAAAATGTCCACATTCTCACATTTTTGTTACGTAGGAAATAGGTTTATCCACAAGTTGAATACGTCGGCTTTGAAGAAAAATTTTGGGCTTTAATTTTTATAACATAATTTTCCAGTAACAATTTAGATTATTATTTAGTATTTACTTTTGTGTCTGACTAACTTCTTTTAGGATTTTACACCAAAAGGAAAGATAGCATAAAAAACTGAAGTCACACAAAGCTGGTAAGAGTGTAGATGCTGCTCTTGTATCGACGTTTTCTCTGTTGGTGCTGGGATTATATATATATATATATATATATATATATATATATATATATATATATATATATATATATATATATCTTCGAGTGTTTATACTAGTTTTTTAAATTATTCTGCAGTGGTTTAACAACGTCATGACGAGCAATCTATCTTGTATCTGAGAGTCTTTTGACGGATACGCCTACACTTTTCATTAAAGTTTCCCATTGGCGTGTGGATGATGAAAAGAACCTGTAAACTCTTTTTACTGTTTCGAAAAAAAGTTAAACTTGAATTAGCGCTCCCTAAGTGAGTGCACTCCATATAGATTTAGCGAATGATTAGCACAAGGCGTTTTCTAAGTGGTAGAGCCATGCTGTAGCTATATTAGTCGTATAGTTGTAGTACAAATGGATCGGCTCGACCGGGGAAGGATCACGCACTCACAAAATACTAGTGTAAAATAGCAGCTCAACACTGATGTGTTTCGTATGGTGAGTGTAGAGAACGGAGACCCTTTTTACTGAAAAAAAGGCATTCCATCTTAGTCCTCACGGGTGACAACGCATCTGCATTTTGATGCGCAAACGAGGATAAATGTATGTAGATGTCTATGGGCCACAGCAATCGCTTACCATCAGGTGGACTGTATGCTCGTTTGTCACCCTATCCTATTAAAAAAAAATATTCATTCAATGGACAACGTCAAATTTTAAAATAGTGTTATCATCTATAGCGTAAAATGCACCCCTAGTTTTTAGGGAAAGAACATTTATGTTGTAGTATTTTTTTGGTGTTACTTAATAATATGCTTAATTGAAATACAATTTGGAATATCCCAACTATTATTAGCGATAAAAAATGTAAGATTATCGTTCTAGCATACGTCTAAAATATTACTTTAAGTCAATAACTGTCTAAACTTTGGTAATGTTTTTATTTTGTGTAAACATTTATCAATGTTAGAAGAAGATAAAATACAAAACTCGGTGCCTCTCTTTCTAAGAAAAATGAGGAACGGTTACAATGTTCCAAACGTTCACTCCCTATATTATATTATAACCTCCTTGCAAGCTACAGAATGAGATCATAGATAAATACGTAGCAAGCCTTAGCAACCCCCCACCCCTACACCAGCCTACGAATTTTGAGTATATATGTACAACAGCACATCCCAAAAATATTAATTATTTAGAAATAACGTACTTTAGAAATAAAAAATAGTTAAAGATCGCTAACCTTATAACGTCGATATTTCTTCAAATAATTAAAATTGGGTACTTTTTGCTTTATAAAAAAAACTACACCTTGCTTGAGTATAATTGCGCAATCGTTAAAAATGCATAAAATTCAATATTAAGTGCAAAAAGTTAATAAAACCAAATTTGTTAAATATCTTTTTTTTTATTGGAGAGGGGACAAACGAGCATGCGGCTCACCTGATGGTAAGTGGCTACCGCCGCCCATGAACAACTGCAACACCAGGGAGGGAATCGCAGATGCGTTGCCGGCCTTTGATATCGTAAGCACCCCACTAATCCAGCCTACGAATTTGGAGTATTTATATATATAAAAAAACTGACATACTTATTTCTAATAGCACATGTCAAAAATATTTATTATTTGAACTGCACCCATTTAATTTATAAATAAAAAAGGTATAATCGCTCACCTTATAACGTCGATATAACTAAATAATTAGATTTGGGTACTATGCAATATGAAAAAACTACACTCTGCTTGAATATAACTGCACCGTTAAAAATGCATAAAATGCATTATAAAGTGCAAAAAGTTAATATAAAATATAAAATTAAGATGGGGATGTAACACCAGCGCACTTAAAAATAAGTATAATTCCGCCTCCAGGTCCTTCAAAAGCGTCATTGCCAAGGCAAGGTCTGAGCACACCGGCCGAATTGGCGAGAAGCTAGTTCGCCTTCCTTCGGGAACCCGTGCATTCCGGTCTCTCGCCAAGGCTGTCCAAGGGAACTTCTGTCAGCCATCTCTTCCATCTCTGCACAAAGAGGACGACTCACTGGCCCATGCCACAAAGGAGAAAGCCGATCTTTTAAGCTCTCTTTTTGCGTCCAACTCGACTCTAGATGACGGGGGGAACACACCGCCGACCATCCCGCGGTGTGAGTGCTTCATGCCAGATGTGCGATTTACACAGCACTCGGTTCGTAAAGCACTCTTCTCTGTGGACGTTAGCAAGTCGAGTGGGCCTGATGGAGTCCCTCCCATTGTGCTGAAGAAGTGTGCTCCGGAGTTGGCACCGGTTTTAACGCGTCTTTTCCGGTACTCCTACTCTCAATGCGTAGTCCCGAATTCATGGTAGATAGCTTTGGTCCACCCGATCCCTAAAAAAGGCGACCGCTCAGAACCGTCCAACTACAGGCCCATCGCCATAACCTCCTTGTTTTCCAAAATAATGGAATCCATTATAAACTACCAGCTCATGAGGTACCATGAGGTACATATCGAGTGACGTGCAGTTTCGTGGTCACTTGAGGAATTTTTTTTTTATTATTACCGCCTTACACAAGTCCACTACTGAACATAGGCCTCCCCCAAGGAATGCCTCAAAGCACGGTCCTGAGCCACCTGCATCCATCGACTTCCTGCATGTCTTACCAGGTCGTCACTCCATCTCGTGTGGGGCGCCCTACACTTCGCAAACCGGTACGAGGCTGCCACTCAAGAACCTTTCTTCCCCATCGGTTGTCGGTTCTTCGAGCTATATGGCCGGCCCACTGCCACTTCATCTTACTAATCCGTTGGGCTATGTCGGTTACTATGGTTCTACTGCGGATATCCTCATTTCTACGTTTATCACGCAGAGAAACCCCGAGCATAGCCCTCTCCATAGCTCGCTGAGCGACCTTGAGCTTCCTCATACGGCCAGCAGTGAAGGACCACGTCTCAAATCCGTAAGTCATCACTGGCAACAGGCACTGGTTGTACAATTTCATTTTAAGGTTTTGAGGTATGTCTG